TAGGACCCACCTATGCTGGACGTGGAGGGCCAGACTGGGGCCAGGGTGGCAGAGCGGAGGCCACGGCCCTGCTTTGTGCTCCAGTGAACTGCAAATTGCAGGTGGTGGTTTCAGGTGCCCCCGCAAGTTGGGGAACGTGGGTGCTATGATGTGCTCGACGTGTTACAGGGGGGCACCGGGGGCACCGGGGAGGATGCAGGAGGTCGCGAAGACACACACAGGCCATAGCTGTCCTGCCGCCTCTGGGGCTGGGCTGTTGGGGGGACGAGCCCTGATATTGGGGTCTCTCTTCAGGTCAAGGCCCGAGTGGTGAGGCAGCAGCTCCCTGGGGGGGGTGAAGTCAGCCCCCCGCCCCCCCAGGGCACCCCAAGCCTGCCCAGCGCTGAGGCGGACCCTGCCTCTCCTTATCGCTTCTTCTGGTTTCCAAGAGGTATTTAAACCAGACCCCCCCCCCCCAGGTAATACTGACCACCTAGCAGGAGGTGATGGGTTAAAGCTCGAAGAGTCGTTTAAGAGAAGATCCGACTCTAGAACCTGCATAGACAGACTCCTAGGGCGGAGAGGGCACATTCGGCCTAGGGATTTAAAAATGTTTTTGGAGAAATGTCTTCAAAAGCCCAATACTTAGAAACAATCCTCTTTTGAGGAGGACGATGAGGCAGCAGCAACTTCCTGGAGTCCCTAGAGGGACCTGAAGGGACCTGAAGGGACCCCGGCGGTTCCGTGGAGCGTGGTTTGAAAACCACAGATGTCGACCCACTGCTCATTTGCAGGGGGCAACGCACTGCCGCGAGGGGTGCTGTACCCGATATTCCCGGTGAGGGTTGCTGCGGGGGGGGGTTGTCTCGGCGAGGGTCACCGCTGGAGGGGGTTCTGGTGAAGGTCACTGCTGCGGGAGGGGGTCCCGGTGAGGGTCCCTGCAGGAGGGGGTCCCAGTTAGGGTTGGTGCCGTGGGAGGGTCCCGGTGAGGGTCACTGTTGTGGGATGGGGTCCCAGTGAGGGTCACTGTGGGAGGGGATCCCAGTGAGGGTCGCTGTCGCGGGAGGGGGTCCCGGTGAGGGTCACTGCCGTGGGAGGGGGTCCTGGTGGGGGTCACTGCCGTGGGAGGGGGTCCTGGTGGGGGTCCCGGTGGGGGTCGCTGTGGGAGGGTGTCCCGGCCACCCGGTGGCAGCAAGGACAGCTCCAGACCCCAGTAGGCCGCGGGCCTCCGCCTCAGTGCCCGCGACCTCTGGCCTAGGTCTGCTGTGAGCCAGGGGCCACCGCGTGCCTTCCCAGTGGACGGAGCTGCCCTCTGGCCACGCAGCCAGCTCGGCCAGGGCTGATGAGGAGCCCTGAGCGCTAGGCCCGCTGCCAGGCCCGGGCCACGGGGACTGGTGAGGGTTTCTGGCTAAGCCCGGCTCAAGCCATTCCAAGGGACAGCTGGAGCGTCTCTCAGTCAGCGCCTGGAAGGGGGCCAGCCCCGCCTCGGGCTCGGGCCAAGCACATGTGAGTGCACTCACACACTCACACACTCACACACTCACACACACACACACGGAGTGTGCACACGTGCACGGTCGTACCGTTCACACTGCACGGCCACACGTGGGCTTGGCACACGTGAACACATGCACACGTCACACGCAGCGGCACACGCAGGGGCGAGGGTGTGGGTGTAACCACCAACGCACAGGCGCCGGCGCCCGGGCCCCCACTCCGCACGCGGCCTCCCGGGCTGGGTCGGGGGAACACACCTTTGGGTCCAGTCTGTGCGGGGTGAGTTCAGTGCGGGGAGGTGGCCTTTCCCCGTCTAAGTCGTGGTGGCTCCAGCCTTGTCCCAGCCTGGTCCCGTGGGAGGCTGTGTGTGGGAGGACTGAGGGGCTGCTGCAGTGTCCGGGCCCCTCAGGGGCATCTCTCTGGGGCAGAAGGGACCTGGAATTGTGCCTGCGTCCCGTGGAGGTGGGGTGGGCGTGGGGCCTGGGGTGGGGGGGCTGCCTGGCTCTGGAGGTGCCATGGTCACTGTGGTGTTGGAACCATCCAGGCCCAATCCCGAGGGCAGGTAGGACGGGGGAGGCTTTGAGGTTTCCTGCAGCTGTGACCCCCGCCCTCAGGAAGTCAGCCCGGCCCTCAGCCTGCCGTCCAAGGGGGACTGTCCTCTCAAACCTCGGAGGGCTAGAGACCTTCTGGTCCCTTCTGTCTCCTGGCCACACAGGCCCAGGCACGCTGGACCATCAGCCCAAGAGTGGTAACGGACGTCACTGTGGTATGACCGCTGGCCCCTGCCCATCGAGGGACCCGGAGCCACGAGTGGGGCTCTGGAGCCCCCAGCCCCTCATCCCAAGGAGCCTGCTCCGGGGTGGGCTCTCCTGAGTCCAGCTCGCTGCCCCCAGCCGCTGGCCACAGCCCATGGAAGGTTTCTGTCACCTCCCCCACCAGATCAATACCCCGAGCCTGCTGTCAGCAAATCTCTGACCTCTGACCGGGCCACACACCGTGACCCCTGAACCCATCTGCCTTTCCACCAATCCTTGCCCTGGTCTCTGGGGTGGCTGAGGCGAGGTGACCCTCCGCTGCAGCCCGGGCTGTGACGGGAAGGGAGTGTGGCTGTCGGCCTCCACCGCCCAGCCTCTTCTCTTCACTCCACACTCAGGGCCGGAGTCAGCGGCGGCCCCTGGGGCCTCCCTGGCAGGACCTCCCTGGCAGGGGAACAGGCTGGGCCCTGGAGCTGAGTATGCCAAACAGCCAAGGGCTGTGCATGAAGGATTTGGAGTCCCTTCTGGGGCCCAGGAGCCTTGGGAGTCAGGGAAGGGACTCGGGGGGTCCTAGTGGCTCTATCTGAGGCTGGCCGAGGTGTCCCTCCTTACGCTCCACAAGCTGCTCTGCACCAGGCCAGGGGCCTGAGGCTCAGAACGCCCGCCCTTAGCGTGGTCCTGGCTGAGAAGAGCCCCCAGGACAGGGAGGGTGAGCTGGCGATGGTGTGTAGCCCCCACTGGCCCCACAGCCAGGGCACAAGCCCGTAAGCCTCTGGGGGGATGGGAGGGACCCTGTGCTCCTATCCGAGGGGCTCCCTCCCTGACCAATCACAGTCTCAGCAGCCCTCACCCAAGAATGAGGAAGAGGTTGCTCGGAGGCCCCCAAAGTGCCCCCTAACCTCCCGGAGGGTCACTGCCCTGGCCTCCTGGGCCTTCCCTGCCAACCTGCTCTAGCCCCTTGTCCTGCTGAAATCCCCTGAGCCACCCGGGAATGCAATCTGGGGAGTCCTGGGCTCCTGGGCAGACACCAGTGTCCTGAGACTCAGGCCCCAGAGGGTCTGGCCAGGACAATAGGACCTGCCGGTCATGCACCATGTCACCCTTACCTGGGTGCCTCTCTTTGTACCTGGAGTGTGTCCACATTGGCTCCTGCTTCTAAGAGGAGCCCCCTCCCCGACTCACGTGTTCTGAGACCACGGGGCCCAGCAGCCCTCTGTCCTGGGTCCATCCGGGTCTGTGGTAGGGGGACAGGCAATGGCCCAGAAGCTCCAGTGATGAGACCCACCCACACACGTACCAAGGTGAGGAAGAAGGTGGGTGAGGGGAGAAGAACAGAGAAGCAGGATGGACGGAGGACTTGGAGGTGTGAGAACAGTGCAGAGAGGAGCCCAAGGCCCCAAGAGGCAGGTGGGTGGGCTCAGGGGTGCCTGATGCTGGGTCCTGGAAGCCTCACTTCTCCCCTGGACCTCCAGCAGGTGCCTCCCCCACCCCGGGGACCCCTCGAGCCCTGCCTGTCGGCCTCCCTGGGCCATGCTCAGGAGCCCCAGGCGGAAGGCTGGTGGCGCTGCCCAGGCCGGTGGGTGCGTGGGTGGCAAGCCCTGAGGTCAGCGGGTGGGGCGGGGACATCCAGAAGGCCCAGCACAGCATGCCGAGGTCCCAGGCCACCTGCCTCTGCCACCGCAGGCCATGCCCTGGGCCCCCTGGGGACCCGGCCAGGCAGGTGGGGAAGCCAGGGTGCTGGCGTCGGCCCGGGAAAAGAGCAGCAGAGGTGCCGGGTGCTGAGCAGCGCCTCCCTGCCTGCCGTGGGCGAAGCCCGCTGCCCGGTGACCGTGGCCAGGCCCGGGGAACTAAGCCTCGAGGAGGGAGCGACGGTTCCCTCCCGGAGAGGACTTGAACCCGAGGCTGGGAGTTGGCGGCCCCCGAGTGGGAAGAGCAGGAGGGTCACGGCCGTGATGTGGGTCTGCGCCAGGCTCTTCTCTCTGCTGGGAGCCCGGGGCCCGGCCGGCAGAGAGGGGGCGCGTGTGGCTCGCCAGGTCCCTGGGGCTTTGGGCCACGGGGTAAGGACGAGGGCTGGCCCCCGACGTGTGCCCGTCCTGCCCTGTGCCCCGTGAGGACGTAGGGACGGGGGACTTGGTGGCCGCACAGGGGGCCTCTGCCCCTCCTCCTCCTCCCGCCCACCCCGGGGGCCCCCGGAGGCGTCCCTGCGCTCTGGCAGGGGCACACAGACCCCCACACCTCACACTGACCCACACACCACTGACAGGCACCGCACACCCTGTCATACACGCCGCGTTCCGCAGGCGCCCCACGGGGCCCACATCACACACACTTCGGCACAGACCACAGACACATGTACCCCATGAACGGACGCGTGCCACACATCAGAGCACACACACACCCACAGACACACGCACGCGCCACAGTGACGTGGCCCCCAGACGCCACCATGGACCATCACACACTCCCACACGCACAGGGACGCGGCCCACGGACACACGCGGCCCGAGCTCTGGCTGCCCACGTGGGTCAGGCACACACAGCCTCGCCACTCGCACACACTCAGAGCCAGCAAGTCGCCCCGCGGGAGCCCTGGCGCCACACGGGCCGCCCCCATCCCAGAGGCAGAACCTGGATGGAGACCAGGGAGGACAGGGCGTCCGAGCTGAGCGCCTGACAGGAGGAACCCAGAGGGGAAGGGGGTGCTTCCGGGGTCGGGGGGGACGTCACGGGCTCAGGGTGCCCTTGGGGGCGGACGGCTAGATGCGGAGGCCTGGGGCTCGGGGAGGTCCCCGTGTCCCCTGCATTCCTCAGGGTGGGGGCCGTCACCTCCTTGGGACTGTCTCCAGGGGCCTCTTGCCTCCTCCAGGGCCGAGGACTTCTCCCCACCCCGCCGAGGGATCGGCGGGCACAGAAAAGGTCCTGGTCTTGGATTCCCCACGTGGCGGATCGGAGGCGGTTTGTGGGCCCCCCACCCTGCTGACCTGGCCTGGAACATAGGGGTTCCCATGCAGGAGTCCCCGAGAGTAAGGGGCTGGGCCGAGAGACCGACCATCTGCTCCAGGACGGGAGGGGGGCCTTTCCCAGAGCCCGCGGCCAGGCCCGCTTGGGTCCCGGGGCCCCTCGGCCCCTCTTGGAGAGCAGGGCCCCGAGGCCTCCGACCCGCTGCCTCTGCCTGACACGCCACCCCCGGAGCCAGATTCCTCTGTCGTAAGTGACCCGAGGCTCCGTTACAGTGCGGGGGCCTCAGGGACCACGTGTGGAGGAGTCCGGGGGGCTGGGGGTGCCGAAGGCAAGGGGGCCCTGGCGTGGGCAGGTTCCCAGGAGGAGCTGGGGGTCTTCCCGGGGCTCAGGCATGCCGGGCAGTGGTGCTGAGGCATCAAGCCTGCCACCCCGTCCTTGCCTGGGGCCCAGAACGGCAGCAGTGGGTTTGCTGGGCTTCAGCTGATGCGGTGTTTCTGGGGCGGCCTCCCTGCCCCCCGCCTCCGGTAGAGCAGGGCAGTCACTGCCCACGGGTATCCCTGCCGGCAGAGGCTCAGCAGTGGCAGGGGTGGCAGCTGCTGGGCCTCTGGAGCAAGGAGCTGGATGCACAAAGATAGATAGGCCTTCAGGGCTCCCGAGGGGGGCCCCCTGCCAGGCACAGGGTCAGCGGGGGACGCAGCCCCAAGGGGTGTGGAGGGTGAGGGTCCCTTCTCTTAGGAAGCCCCGTGCCTGGGTCCGATGGGCCCCCTGCCCTCCTCCAGGTCAGCAGCGCACCCCGGGCTCTGGCCCTCCCGGAGGCCGGCCTGTCTGCACGGGAGCTGCGATCACAGCCAGGATGGGATGAAAATAGGAAGTGGTCTCCAGCGCCAGGCGGTGCCGCCTGCCCTTCTTCCCGGGCGTGGGGGTGGCCGCTCCTGAAGCGCCTGAGTCACCCGCCAACGGCTGCTGGGAACCCTGCATCCAGCCTCTGGGAAACACTGTGGCCTCTCTGGCTGGACGTCCAAGGCCCATGCACAGGTCCACGCTCCAGCCCGGGCTCCCAGCCGGGCTGCGGCAGCCTCCTGACCCTTCCCTCTGACCGGGGACCCGTCAGGGCCCTGACTCCGCTGAAGGGGTCTGCTCCTTGTTCCAATTCATCCCCGCAGGACCCCTGCCAGGTCGGCCTAGGTTACGGATGAGGAAGCCAAGGCCCGGAGAGCTGCTCAGGGCCCCACAGCCAATAACTGGCAGTGCCAGGGCTGGAGCTTAGGACAGTTTCAGCCAAGGATCCAACACTAAGGAGGGTGAGGCCCGGCCCTGAGAGGCCATCCTGGAGCCAAGACTCAAATGACGGGAAGGAGCCGACCAAGGCAATATGGGGTGCGGGTGAGTGTGCCAGGAGGGGGAATAGCCAGTGCAGAGGCCCTGTGGCGGGGACAGGTTTGGAGCGTCTGAGGAACAGACCGGAGCCAGGGAACAGTGGTTCCAAGGTGTGGGCAGCAGCAAGCAGATGATCTGAGTCATCCGAGTCCTCAGATCTAAGTGGGGTGGGTGTCTGTCCTTAGGCCCATGTTGCCCCTCCCAGCTGCCGTCTGGGAGGATGTGCTGGACCTTAGCATGTCCTAGGCCTGGGACCTCCCCCCACGTCTTCCCAGAGGACAGGCTGGGGACAAGAGGAAGTGCTGACAGCTGGGCTAGGCCATCACGGGTGGCTGACCCATGACCCTCTGTGCCCCAGGCCGACCCGTGGCTCAGGCACCGAGGTGGGAGCGCCCCAGGGCGGTCCTGGGGCAGTGGCGCTGGCGCTCTGGCTCCACGAGGCCTTTCCCCGCAGAGGCTGCCGGAGTGTGGGTGATCCCCGCCCCGCCCGCGGTGCCGAGCCCTGCACACTTCCTGCCGGCCCACCGGGGAGAGCAGGCCGCAGCAGCTTGCGTGGGAAGCACAGGCAAGTTTCCACGGATCCCGGGTGGGTGTCTCATCGCCAAAGGGAACGTGGAAGTCCAGATAGAAATCATCCAAGACGGCCCGTCGGGGAGTTCACAGGGAGAGGACTTGTCTCTGGTGAGGGGTTGGGGCAAACACACCAAAGAGTGGAGTCTAAGGAATGCGTCACTCGAGAAGGGAGAAGGCGTGGCTCTCCCCAGAAGACAGCGCGGCTCCAGGGTTGAGAGGGGTCAGGGCTATCTGCTGACCCCATCCTCATGATCTCGTCAGATCCCAGACGCACAGCTGCCTTCTCCTGGGGCTGCTCTGGCCGCTCGATGGTGTTCTCTGGACTGTCCCTCAGTCTCTGACCTTGGCTTTCACCACTTTCCTGTCTGAGGAAGTTGAAGCCGCCCTCCAAAAAAAAAAAAAAAAAAAAAAACAACAGACCCTCCTCCCCACTCTGCACCACCACCCGTGGCTTGGCATGAAGACCGTCGGTTCTACGCAACCTGATGGACGCAACCTTCTTCCCGCGGATCCTGCCTCGAGCCCACTTCTTTCTACCCGATTCTTTATTGCTGCTCTAGGTTAGTGGAGTAGCGGGGTTCTTGGTGGAAAGTCATTTCCCCGAGCAACTGGAAGACGTAGTTCTCTAGGTTTCTGGCATCCATCGCTGCCGATGAGAAGTCTGTTGTCGGTCTACATGTCCCTCCTTTGACCTAATCCCGCATTTCTTCCTCATCCATAAGCATAGCTCATTTTATCGTGCATTTACTGAACTTTGGAGATAACCGTGGGTTTTGTTTGTTTTGTTTTTTATATTTATTTATTTTTATTTATTTATTTATTTATTTATTTATTTATTTATTTATTTATTTTGTTTTTTAATACATCGAAGGTTTGTGGCAACCCTGCATGGAGCGAGTCTGTCGCTGCGCTTTTTCCAACAACAGCATTTGCTCAACTTTTTTTTGTTTGTTTGTTTTTTAAAGATTTTATTTATTTATTCATGAGAGACACAGAGAGAGGAGCAGAGACAGGCAGAGGGAGAAGCAGGCTCCATGCAGGGAGCCCGATGTGGGACTCGATCCCGGATCCCGGGGTCACGCCCTGAGCCCAAAGCAGATGCTCACCCCCTGAGCCACCCAGGCCTCCCGCATTTGCTCACCGTGTATCTTCATGTCACATTCTGGTAATTGTTGCAATGTTTCAAGCTTTTTCATTATTATTATATTCGTTACGGTGAGCAACGATTACGACTTGCTGGAAGTTCCGATGATGGTACCTGTTTTTTAGCAATAAAGTATTTTCTTAATTAAGATATGTGCGTTTGTAAAGACACAATATTATTGCTCACTTAACAGGCCGTGCGATAGTATACACGTACATTTACATGCACTGGGAAACCCAAAAAATTTCATTTGACTCGCTTCATCACGATATTTGCTTTATTGCATTATACCGCAAGATCTCTGAGGTATGGCCTGTACTTCTAAGGTTGCTTTTTTTTGTTTTTAGCGTTCTGTAGTTTCACTCTGGTGTGAATTTATTTTTACTTCTCCTTCTTGGGGTCCAATGTGAAGGCTCATTCCTTTGTTCTGGAAATTTCTCAATCATTACATCTTGAATTTTTCCTGTTTTCACCCTCTAGAATTCCTATTATATGCATGTTGAACCTTTTGGACCATTTGGCTTTTTCCTCCCAGAGCCTTACAGTCTCACTTTTTTTTTTTTTTTGCTTTTATGTCTGCGTGCTGCATTTCATGAAATTTCCTCAGTCCAGTTTTCCAGTCCCCTTGCCCTCCACCACGAGTTTGCAAGGAGTCCATCCACCAAGTTTTTATTTCACGCTTCGATGACTATTTAATTTCCTTGGAAATCTAGCTGCCCTTTATTTCTAGGAAATATTTCTTATTATGCTTCCTACTCCCTCTTCTCTCTCCTTGATAATTTAAGGTATATATGTATCATGCAGTCTTTTTCAAATTGTACAAAATAGCTCTAGATTGAAGATCTCCTGCGATTTGCCTTTTTTTGGGTCATGCGAGGCTTCTTTGTATTGTGAGCTCATCTTTATCAGGAATCATTTTTCACCTCCTGCTGTGGTAATTGTCCTGGGCTGTGGAAGTGCCCGTATAAAGTCAGTGGAGTAAGTTTCTTTCATGGCCCTATATCAGTCTTTATGTGCTTTTCTAGATTTGGAGTTCTAGAAGGCCTGGATTGCGTAATTTGAATCCCACGTTTATTCATGGCTCTGGTTAGGATTTTGGTTTGTCAAAGGTGACTGTTTTTTTCCCACACCAGAGGATGGAAAGCTTCATTGCACTTTCTCGGGTCAGCTTTGCATGTCCCCTTTGTGTGGGTCAGTCTTTTCAGCCCTGGGCTTTATGGAAGGGGGTCAGTTCCAGCTCACGACCTCAGGGAGCTCAGGACACATATCCTATCCTCATCTCCTGCCCTAATTCTGAAGTCTTCCCCAGTCTTTCTGTCCTGTACCCTAACTGAGTGCCTCATGGCCCTCAGGTGACTCAGTTCATACCCTAAAGTAGTGCATCCTGACCTTTCCCTTCACTGAAACTACCCAGCTTCACCATCTCCCTTTCAGTCTCCGGGCCTCCCCCTCTCCGACCCCCGTTTCTGTGGCACAGGTTTGCCCAGGAACCCCCAGAGGAAGCCCTGCAGCACAGATTCCTCAGATATACCCTCCAACTTCCAAGAACCCCAGACTCTGACCAGTTACTGTCCCTATGATCCATGACTTTCTAGAAGAAAACTGTAAAACAGGCCAATCGAGCCCTGACACTCTCTAGCCACGGCAGCCAGGGCCTTCTGTTGTACCTCGATCCGTGCTTCTGGACGGCAGACGGTTTTGTCCTCCTCCCAGGGAGTATCTGGCAATATCTGAAGGGGATTTCGATGGTTGTGCCTGGTGACGGTGGTGGTGATAGGGAAATGTCTCCGGCATTTAGGGAATAGAGAGCAGGGTTGCTGCTAAAGGGTCTACGATGCCCGGAACAGCCCTAACCACACCGGATCAGTTATCCAGCCTAGAATGTCAATAAGTACTGCTGTTGAGGAAACTGGGAAGCTCCTCCTGCCCTTTGTCACAGTGGGTCCTGGATCCTCTGGGGACGAGCCCTATGTTCACTCTGGGATGAAGGGGCAGGGAGGCAGCCTGAGACCCGGACCCCAAGGTATTCCCAGCTGGGCGGACAGAGGAGCCCTCAGGACCTGGCTCAGGCTGAGAGCGCACCTGTGGGAGGGTGACTCTGATGGGTCCCAAAGGACACCAGAGGCCCAGACTGCTCCCAGCTCACACACGCAGCCTCCTGCAGGCCTGGAGCTGGGGTCGATCACCCTCTGCCCTACCTGCCCACCGGGCCTCCCGCCCAGCTCCCTCCCCAGTGCAGCCTGCACGCGCTGGCCACACTTCCCCGTGTGATGTGGGGAGCAGCATGCGGTCGTTGGAGCAGGCCAGGCCCTCCTGGGGTGGGTAAGGATATATCTCTGGTGCCATCTTTCCTGTTCTGATAAATAACTGATCTGTGGTTGAGGCAAGAAGGTCACCTCTGCCCAGGGAAGCTCAGGGACAAACCACTTGTGACTGGTGGGAAGAGCCCAGGGGTGGGGGCAGCGGGAAGTCTGTCTTCCCTGGCCACCGGGCTGCTGGGGGCAGATTTCAGAAAAGGGAAGTGCTGAGCTGGGGCAGCGCTTCCTGTGGTCGCGGCAGTCAGGGCATCGGGGCGGGCATGGCAAATCAGAGGGGCGGCTGCCCTGCCCCAGGAGGAGGCGAGGTGAGCCTGCCCTGGTCAGCAGGCCCCGGGCTGGGAGGACGCCGGCGGGGCACAGTCCGCTGCTGTCCTGCACCAGTCGGGGCTGGGGGTCCTGGAGGAAGGAGACACTCACTGGAACACAGTGGGGCCGCTGGTCCCCTGTCGGGGAGCCTCCCGGAGCTCCTTTCTCCCTCTAGGGCTTGGTGATTTGCCCCCTGCCTCTCGTCGTCTCTAGACGTCCTGTCCTGTTCACACACCTCTTCTTTGTGCCTGCCTGTAGACCCCTAGGGGAGGCCTGCTGCCCCTTCTGCTCTGGGGGACCCCCAGAGGGAAGGCCTGAGCCCAGGAACCTGCTCTGTGCCCCTCGTGCCCCTCAAGGGGGCATCTAGCTGTCTGTTCTTTGTGTCCCGAGTCAGGGACGGGACTGGAGCAGGGGCCTAGTCGTGAGGACGTGGCCAGGGCTCCGCGGTTCCTGGAGTCCACCTTCCTTCCTCTGAGCATCGCAGAGCATGAGCCCAGGTGCCGAGCCGGAGGGGTGCCCGGTCTGGGAGGGGTGACACAGGGGACACTGGCTCCCCTCGGGGCTCAGCAAGGAGGGCTGCTGGCTCCCTGCTGGCTAGGCCCTGCCACCCTCCTCTGGGCTGAGTCCCACTCACCCCATCTTGACTTTCCAGCCTCATTCCAGCCCCACTGGACCCCATCAGGATACAAATAAACCCGGGGGTCCCTTTTGGCCTGGCCGAGCCCCGTGGATGGGAGCAGAGCTCCATCAACCCCCTGGACTGTGCAGCCCACGGGGGACAGGGCTCCCTGCAAGGTGAGGATGGGGTGTGGTGGGTGTAGGGGATGCAGGCCCTGCTCCTGCTTCCCCGGGAGCCTGCACCTGGAGAGTCGGGGGGGGGCAAGCCCAGCACCCTGCCCTGCCCCGCCGTCCTCAGGCCGCACGGGCTGTGCTCTGGGAGGGCCAGGCCAGCCCAGCCCCCCTCACCCACATTCTCGCTCTACCTCTGCTCCCTCCTTTTACTTCCCCAGCTCTCTTGACCTTGGGTCACCTCGTCTCTCTTTCTCTGTCTCTCCCGCTGTCTCTTCTGTTTTTCTTTCTCTTCGGTGAGTTCCCCCAGCCCCGGGACCCCCAGCCTCTCTCTGCCTATATTTGTCCATCTGTCCATCTGTCTGCTGCTGTCCATATTTCTCTCCCTCCTTATCTCTCTTCCCCATCACCCTGGCCTGACCCCAGCTCTAGTGCATCTACGTGTGTCTACCTGTGTCCCCGTGTCTCCGGCTCTCCTGTCCCCGTGGCCTGTCTCCCCCCACGCTCACCCCGTCCCTGATGGTCCCACGGGCCACTCGGCTCCTCGCTTGGCAGGACCCGCTGGGGGCATTTCTTAGTAGGCCCACGGGCCCTCATCTTGTTATCAGTTGGAAATGAATCAGAGATTAGGAAACGGGGGAGTGGGGGTGTTATCGCCCCGCGCACACGGGGCTCTCGGCTAATCTCTGGCGGCCCTGGGTTCGAGAGGAAATGCAATTGCAACACCGGGGCCTTCTTACCGTCACTGTCATGTCCGCTGCAGGGCTGTGGGGACCCGGGCGTGAGGTTGGAGAGGAGAGAGGGAAAGGGCTGAGGGCCCGGCCCAAGCCCTCTGCAGGCGTGTGCACGCTCACAGTT